ACTGCCACCACGTCCGGCCATGCCCCTCTAGTATCCTGTGTGATTTGGTTCCAGATAGCTTTAGGTTTCTGTTCGTTGGCCTGAGCCAGACCGTTCACATTAATTGCTCTGATGTCCAAATCTACGTTTGCAATTTTTTTTGCCCATATCGGTATTCGTCTCACGGGCGGAGTTGGGCGAGGAGGGCTGGGGCAGGGCCACTGGGTTGTCTTTGCTGGTTGCCGTGTTGTGGAGGGGTCTGGGATTGTTGTATAGGGCTCCCCCATACCACCTATTGTCCTGCCACATGTCGGCCATCCATCTGGTTTTGGTGTATCTGTTCCGTTTGGACCAGAAAGTTGTGTGGAGGGAGCACCAATTATTAGGACTTAAGTTTTTGTGGGGAGTTCAGATCCCAGTCTGGAGGTACCTGATGAATGGTGGGTCATCCCATTGTTGGTGTACCTCCAGCATGTCCTCCTCAATGAGAATAACAATAGATTCGTGAAAACCAGAGAACCAGACAAAAACCAGAGAAATCCTATAGACAGAAAAACGTCAATGAAACATAGCATTTTTTGAGAAACAAAGGTTGATTTTGCACCGTTTCTTGCGCAAATTTCATCGACCCCCCCCCTAAAAATTAGTAGATATTCGAGGCCGACAACAACGTGAAAAAAAAAAAACCATTTTGGAGGCGAACAGGCGACTCCTACTCATGGCCAACGAAAAGATCTCCAATTTATGGCGATTTCACTGCAGAACGAAACGACCAGTCAGTACTACACATTGGAAGTAGTATTTTGTTTTAAAACAGAAGAGCCTTTTCCGGGACCTAATCCAAGGACGTAAAAACTAACCGAAAACCTGGCAAGCCGAATAGACGGGTTGGTAATCCTCTTTCTTTGCACTCATAATACTAAGGAAACAGAAGCTTGAAAACGAAGGTACTAAAAAAACGGGATCTAGAGGACAGCAAAAAACAACCAACGACAACTGATTTCAAATCTCCAAAAGTTGTGGACAACCGATTGATCAGATTCGACCGTCACGGAAATTCAATGACTTCCAAACACGACCTTATAGGCCTATAACGTGAATTTGCGCAAATTCAGAAAAGAGCCGAATTTTGCGAGATTTGAAAGCGACCCTCAAAAATTCTCTCGAAATTCAAAAACCGCACTTTTCGAATTATAGGCCTATAACGACTGTTTGAAAACGAAACACGGACATAATAATTTTAGTCCGCAATCGGTCAAGTGTTTATAGCCCTATAAACGCAATGTTCAACCTCACGAAAATTCAGCGAAATTCAAACACGACCTTATAGGCCTATAACGCGAATTTTTGGAAAGTACAAAAAAAACATAATTTTAGTCCATTATCGGTCA